GTCTCCTTAAGCTTGTCCCCCAAAGTCTTGAAATCCTTCATAATGCGGTCAGGGTTGCCCCTGGCCGCATCATTCGTCCCCACATGGATGACAACCATGGGGTATTGGTCTGCAGGTTGGATGTAGGCCAGGGTCTTTTCCATGATGTCTCTAACCCGAGCCCCAGGCATGAAGGAGACCTCTCGCGTCATGGGGTCAGGCCAACAGATGGGACCTTCCAGTCCTCGTAGGATGGAGTCTCTTATGATGCGAACCCGGCGTTTCTTCCTGCTTTCCTACTGTGGATGGGTCCTCATCACCAACAACCTGGTGGCAGCGATCCTGTGGCACTGGTGCGCTGTACTCAACCTGCCACCAGACCTACTCGAGAGACTCTAGCGCCTCCTGATAGACTTTTCTGGGATGGGTGCCATTGGTTCCCACGAGCCTGCCTGTCACTGAGGGGGGCCAGAGCCTGGTCGACTTGGTGAGCAAGATGGCTGCTTTCCACCTGCAAGCCCTTCAGCGACTCCTCTATGGTGAGGAGCACCTACCCTGGCAACAATTAGCGTGCTGGTTCCTACAGAGGGTGGGGGCCCTCGGCTTCGACTGGGAGCTCTTCCTGCTGGACCTCACGCTCCTGAACTGTGTGGTGCTTCCACCCTTCTACCATGGCGTGGTATGAGCCTGGCAGGCTACCTTCCACCTCCAGCCCCAGGCCCAGCACCTGCATTTCCCACGGCTGCTGAGGGAGCCCCTGGTATACAACCCAGCCCTGTGGCACCCTGTGCCAAGCCTGGCCTTCACCAGCCTCATCCAGGTGCATGTCCTCCACCTGGGCCATCTCCTAACCACCTGAGGCCCTAACCACCCAGCTAGGCATGCGCTCTGTCTGCAACGTGGGCCATTTCCTGCATGACATCCAGGCTGCCCTCCACTGGAGGCAGCAGCCACCCTAGATGACCATCTCCAGGCATGCCAGGTCTCCCACACCGTGGATGCCCCAAGCGAGACTTTTCTCATGCTGCCGGTCACCCTGGCCATGGCCAGCAAGCTGGCCAGTGAGCCTGGCACCCTGCTGACATTCCCTGTGCCTCCCAACAGTGATATGAGTTTCCCCTTTGCTTCTCTGTCACGTAGAAGCCTTTATACCTGGGTGGTTCATGTCTGCCATACCCAAATGCTGATGTTACTTAAAATTGCCAATAGCTCAAATTAAGAGCGAGACCTTAAAAGGGACGATAAGGCAAAAATGCCATGTTTCTTGGTTACGTGAAGCAGATACATAAGCTTGGACACACCGGTCATACAAACAGACATACACAAGCATAAGTAGACAGACATACAGACAAAACCACTCCAGTAAGATGTTATAGCTACCAGCAGATGTTACTCAATATTAGCACTGGATGGCCAGGTCCAGGCTTATTAAGGGTGATAGGAGCAGGGGAAGAACAGACATGCATGCTTGTGCTCCATGAGGTTGCAGAGAGTGGATTCCCCATCTTGACTTGTCTGCATCCCACTTTTATAGGGATTTCAAGTCTTTGTTAAGCATTGGGTTTGTTCCATGCTTAGTCTTCAGGTCATTCCAGTCATTGTGTAGTTGGTATATTTGCCTTGAAGCATTGTGTAGTTCAAATGGCAGGCAAAATATGCAGAATTCCTTCTTGTTATCTTCTTTGAACTAGATT